GCCAAAAGAATGCTCATAATCATTATTTAATGTAGCCTCCCTGGGACGGGCAGTGTCTACACATTTATCTCAATCCAGTGGTTGTCATTCCTTATTACCTATTAGAATCCTTTAAGCAAAGGGAATTATTTCACCTTTCAAATATGGGCATAGTACCTTGAAGTGGCATGCTTGCAGCTGTTGGAAATTTCAGAACACCAGTCTCTCATCTTCCAAAGGCCATGTTGCTACCTAAGCGATTTAGAAGAGCCCTCACATACATCTGGTCAAGCCATACAATTCCCAGAGGCTGCAGCTCTATCCAAAAAGATCTCCCTTAGGAACACGGGAGATCTTAGCTTAGCAGACTCTTTGGGAATCACATTGCATTCCTTAATAACACAGTCACAACCTAAACAATTAGGTTGATGGGCCTTTACATTCCCCCTGAGTGCCCTCCCTACAACAGTGATTTGTCAGGTAGCCTACCCCCGCAGTCAATTAGATTTTGTAAAGAAATGTAGTCACATTAAAGTAGGTTTTAGAAAGAACTTTGCTTTACATAAAAGCCTTTGTCTCCTAAAGATGCATATTATGCTCAGGGAGTCCCAATTAAGATACATAAAATCCATGGTGTAGTAGAAATACAATGTTTATTTCACTGGTGTTATTCATTTGGACTTCAACTGATTCGTTTAGTTTTGCAAACTCAAATTTCTGGGTATCCCTTGTATCTTCACAGGAAGAGATTTATAGTCATCTCACTTCCATTATTCAGAATACTGACATCTTGGATGGTGCAATTGTCCAAAGGTTGATTTACTATGCTTCTAAGGACATGAGAGATGACAATGTAAGTTTGTTGATGATGAATCAGTATCAGGGTCAGCAGCAGGTCTTTAAGTGGCCCAACTGCACCCATGTAGGCATATATAAGCTTTTTCTATATCACTGCAGGACCATAAATCACTTTTATTTGTTCTTCATAACTTGGATACAGTCACAGTACCTATTATTTACCCTTTCACAGATGAGGAAACTAAGGCAAAGACATTAGAGATAATATTATCCAATCTACTTGTAGATGAGGAAATTGATGCTTACAGAGATTTTTTTTTCAAAGTAACACAGCTATCTATTGACAGAACAAATAACTAGAAGCTAGTTTTCTTGGCTCCCATATAAATTCTTATCTCTTCATGTGCCTATGTATCTATCAATATGTATACCAGGCATTGTATCTGAAAAACTAATTGTAGAAATAGTTTGAGTCCTAGGAAAATAGCATTTTCTTCTAGAAAGGATGTTTACTTGTTTATCTGCCAAGTTCAATAACAATCTATGATTAATTTCAGAGCTTGAGATTTTCTGGGCAACTTCTGTGACTCAAAGTTGGACTACCGTCCATGGAGGACCAATTTAACCTTTCATCTGAATGCAGTCTGTGGGGGTCTTAGCCCAAAAGATGAGAGGTGTGATGACCAGGGTCTCACCATTGGTTGGTCCTGAATTCTGAATATTGTCCCAAAATGCTGCAATGCAGCCTTGTATGCAGGGCTTATTTCTGGATTCTCAGTCTTTTCCAGATCTCCACTCAGTAATTCATTCCACCCCATATTGTGAGCCCTCTGAGTTTTTCTGAGTATATATTTTTAAAGATCTTGTCCAAGTCTTTTTATTCTGTTCAGTAGTAGGGTTGATCAAATATACCTAGCTCATTATTACCAAAAGCAGAAGCCCCTTCACATAGCTCCAGTATCGGAAGTATTATTAGGTCACAACAGCACTAAAACCCAAAGCTCTGGACTCATAGCCCTGTTTTTTTCATCTTGGCCTTCAGACTTTCAACCATAATAATTTATATCACTCAAAACATAAATTTTATGTTCATGGTACCTGATCCATTAGCAAGAAAACACGTATTGACCCCAAGTTTATAAGAACCCTATTAAAATCTGGTTTTAATATGCATTAAAATTACCTCTGCTTTCCCAACTACTGACACCTACCCTAGAGGCTTCTACTATAGGTTTGTAAACAGCCCGTTCTCCTTCTATCCCAAAGCGAGGGGAACTCATAACATTAAGTATTCTTTCTCTCTGCAGACTCCCTCTGCTCTTTCTCTAGTTGTTATGGTCATTTTTCTTTTTTATCCTCAGCTCTCCAGGGAAATCAGAATGTTAGCTGGTGAGGTTTTGGTGTCTCTTGCTGCGCATGACTTCAACTCGGTGATGTATGAAGTACAAAGTAACTTCAGGATCCTGGAGCTACCAAACGAATTCATTGTGCTTGCCCTGGCCGAACTGGCAACCAGCTATGGTATGGAGGAAACACTCTCCACATATTCCTGGGAAACAACTACCCTAATTGTTGAAAACCCCAGTGGCAGCAAACAGCAGAAGGGAGAGCATCTCTACCTTGTGCCGAACTAAAGAATATAGATAGAGGGATTTGGACAGCTGTTTAAGAGCATAAGTGAGCCTGCTGACTGCCGTTGGTCCATGCTGCTCGGAATTCAGCTGGACTCTCTCCCACCCTCCCTTTCATCTGGCTTTGTGTTGGTAGAAGCCCATTTTCCACAAGGCATATTCTGCAAACCACTGAACACTTGCATGAAGTAAAGGTTCCTTATGATTTTTTTTCTACACCACTTTATTTATCAGATACTTATTGAGCACCAATTGCCTTTGCGGGGCCCTGTGGATACAGGCGAGTTCTGGTGGGAGGGATGAACATTAATAAAATAATTATCCAAGTAAGAAATTGCTACTGAACATAGGTAAAGGTACCCGTGTAGCTAGTACCTTGTTACAGAAAATCATTCCTTGATTCTTTAACTATAGCCTGGCATTATGGAGGGGGAGGGATAGAGGAGACTATCTTCCTACTGCCCCTTATCTGCCTCCCCCACACAGCTGTGATTGCTTGTTGGTGACATAAGGAGTCCCAGAATCCCCAGTGTGAGAAGATAACGCTTTTCTCCTCTCATGCCCCTCACTGCAGTGTCCCAGAGTATTCCCTTCATGATGATGACCCTACTCACCATGCAAACCATGCTTAGGCTGGCCGAGGAGGAAAGGATGAAGGGAGCTTTCTGTATCGGTGGGTATCTCTGTGGTTTCCTCTTGGTTAACATCAGACTATAAANTTTTAAATAAGGACACCAGGTAATTCTGTTACAAGGCACTGTGGACATACTAGAAAATAGTGATACTGACTTAGGAAATTGAAAATGTTCTTAACACCAGCCTGCTGAGAAACTACAATAAATACAGTGCAAAATGTCTATGGAAAGAATGATGAATTCAAAGATTTAGTTGGAAACATTTGATCTTTGAATCTGAAATAAATTAATGAAGGGAAGATAGCCAGAGAGGCGGCAGCATCTGAGCATTGTCCTGAGCCCCTCCCCTCACTCCCTTCTCACTCCCTTTCACATCCATCCTACAGTCCATTATTATCCCCTTCCCACTCCTTCTAACATCTGCCACATTAATATGCCATCTGGACACACATTGGAAATTGTGGTCATATAGATTTAGGGTTCAGGAGGCACTGAGACCAGATATAGGTCCAAACTAGTAAAATGGAAAGCGTTATACACAACAGCTCTGGATAAAAAAATGATTTGAAAACCAGAAAATGGAGTCAGAAAAAAAGCCTGAGCCTGAGTGAGGCCAAGTCAATGATGGGGGTTGGGGTTGGGGAGGGCGGGGAGGGAGGCAGAGAAGGCTTTGCTTTCCTGCTGTCAGTTGGACATTCCATTCAACTGCCCCTGGCAGGCATTCCAGTCCACTGAGCATGCCCAGCTTGTGGGACTGACTTTCACCAAGTAGAACAATCAACAAGATCACCCACCATAAAGGCTTCACCAACACCAGGCCAGTGAAGTGACCATTGAAAATCATTCCCTAACTTGTGATCAATGGACCCAAGTTTAGGGAAAGGAGCTGAGCTCCTTTGGTCTACAAAAATGGTTTGAGTTCCAGCCTCTAATTCCTTCCTTCTCAAACAGATACTCTGGTCTCCACAAAAGGAACAATATTCAGTGAAATGCAGCCATTTTGTTGGTCAACAGGAACTCAGAAGCAAGAAAATGTCATAGTGGTAGAATATAGCATCATCCTCCTCAACAGCAGCCCATCGCTGGAAGCTTCCAGATCATTGTGTCGATCAAGTGGAGGACAGACTTTCATTTAGAAAACCTTATATGAACTTTGTATGAGAAACCTGCCAACCTGCTTCTTTGATTTTTAGTCTTACTATTTCTGATACTTAGGTACTATCTCTTAGAAAGCCTGAAATAGCCAAGATATGATTCAGGGCACTGAGGAATCTGTAGGTAAGTACTATGGTATCCTGAGGAGTTAGGTGTTTTGTGTCTGTGTGACCATATGCATATATGGGGTGGGGGGATGGTGGGCGTCATTTGGGAGGTCTGTACACCTTAGAGGTTTTATAAAAAGCTCTGCTAAAGTAAGATTGTTTCTCTCCACTCTCCCTTTATGCCAAAATAATAAAATCACACTGATTGTAAACAACCAATAATAGACTAGGAACCTGAGAGATGATTATGCCTCACCTTCTTTAAAAATGTATAGTCTACCTGAGGAAAAAGTGGCTGCAACACAAAGAAAGATAGTTTCTTGTTTAAGCTTAAATACTGGAAGAAACCTTTGGAAGTATTTTCCCCAATTTTCAAGTATGTTTGCCTTTCTGCTTTGCCAAAATGACTGTGCTAAAAGACTACATTGTTTGGAGGCTTGTGGAAAATCACCACCTCCAAAAGTATCTCTCCTACCAAGCTGCCAAGAGGCTAACTTTGCTCCATTTTGTTGACTCACAATTTTTTTTTCAGTTTCCCAGAGTGCTTTATTCAAATACAAATACTCCTGGAGAGTGCACGTCAGACTCTTTTTGGTCGTTAGCAGAAAAGAGCAAGGTTCCATGGACTTGGAACCATAAGAGGGAGCTGGCAGAGCCAGAAGGGAAGACAGAGGGAGAGAGGTGTGAAAAAAGAAGATGGAGGGTGTGTTGGGGGAAGAGAACTGTACCACCTCGTTGCCTTGCCATGCTGAAGTCAGGTGTCAGAAACTCAGGTCATGGAGCCTGAGGGCTGAGCCTTGCCAGAGAGGCTCTAAGGTGACTCCTACATAACTGGAGAGATAAATAGGAATCTAGCATCTTTTATCTTCCCCTCCACATTTAATCTAGGTTTTGAGAAAAATACTAAGCATCAGTTATTTTCAAGCATGTCAAGTATTATGAAATATGAATAAGACATAAATCCTGACAACAAATAGATGGCAGTTAAAAAAAGAGGGAGGAGAGCAAGAGAGAGGGAGAGGGGGACAGGGAAGAGAAAGAGGGAGAGAGAGAGAGAAATCGAGAAAGAAAAACTTTCTGTGACTATTGCACAGTAATTAACAGGAGGGTATTTTAGCACATGCTTTTTTTTTCTGTGCATTTTAGAGACTTTTGGAGATATTAACCTCACTCTCGGCATGCTGAACAAGGAAGATAATGTTAGCAAGGTAAGGAAAATAGAGAAAAATCTCGAAAGCCCCTAAAATCTCCCCTACTCATCTGTAATGCTATTTCACAACTAGAGATTTTTTNGCCTGAGCTGAGCTGCTGCTGAGCTGCCAACAGGTGGCAGGATGGCTCAGCTGGTGTAACAACAAGATTGCCTGTTCCATGGTGGGCTATGACCACCTGGAACTAAGACTGAACACAGCACCTTGAGCTTAGAGGGCACGAGCTGCCGGTGGGAAGCCAGATGGCGACTGGCGCCCTGCACAACTAAGACTGAAGAACAACAACTTGGCTTGTCCCCTTCCCCAATTTCCCAATAAAATCTTTTTTAAAAGGCTGAAATAATGAAAGGATCCGACTTTGAAATATCTAGCAACCATAAAAGTGAATTCCTCAGTCAAAAATATGATGTTTCATTTCTCACTAACAGGACCTGACAGTTAAAACCTAGTCCTTCTAAAAGCTCTGACCAAGGTCCAATGAGCTCCAATAGCAAGAAGCCTATTCTGATGCCAGGCCTCTAGGCAAGGTCTTCAGAGGTAAAAGGTTTCCTCGCTACTTCAAATTATAAAGTCAGGCCGTGTTCGTAACAAAGCTAGAAATGGCTAATATGAGAGGCATTTGAGAAACAATTTACTAGAAAATTACTTACTTATCTGCAGGAGCTTGAATTATCTATCACTTGAGTGTGAAATCATTATATAAACCCATCTGCAAATCCCCAGCCCTGGATTAAGTTCTTAAGCACCTTCTGAATTCCGGAAGGAATGACTTTAAAAACATAATCTCAATTTTAAAACTGCAGCCTGCTTAATAGTATACAGAACAGTAACTGCTGTTTACACATGTTTCAGATTAGCAATTCATGGCTAATCTCTCTTGAGCTTACTAATCAAGAAACATTAATGAGGCTCAGTCATTATATTAGGCTTTGACTTTATTCCTGCTGACCACAGTGACAGTTGTCTTGCTTTCAGTCCCTGGACACTTCTCTGACCTCCTCTCCCTACAGTACTGGCTGCTCCTATCAGTGCGAGGAAAAAGGAATTCTCCATCGTGGTTGTATATATGGGTAACAGTGTCAGAAATACCCTATCCATGAAAGGTCCCAATTCATTTATAAGTTTATCGTTTGGGAATTTAAAACACCATTGCAAATGTTTTTGGTGTTACCAAGAAAGTGAAAACAAAGTTGCTTCGTGCAGAAAATAATAATCCTTAGGTCAACTAATCTGATAGTCTCGTTTTGCAATTGAGAATGCAAACTCAGTCCAGAGAGGTTGATTTTTGCAGAGTAATACAACTAGTTTGAAGCAGAACTTAGATACAGTTCAAGTTTCTGAACTCCAAGTCTTATGTTGTTTTTTTCTCTCCCTTTTTATTTCATACATAAATCCTTCTCTGGAAAAAAATTGGAATATATATTATGTCATAATAACATAGCTGAACACTGTATATTTTCACTGAAAACAATAACTGTCTAACTCTTGACAAATAAGTAAAAATTAAAAATTCAATCATCTCCTAACTTTCCTAATCTCTATGAAATCAAGGAAATCTTTATGTACAGACATTCAGAAAATTATTTGCCACCATTTACAAAAAGAGTAATAAATTGATTATAACAATTACTCAAATGGCTAGCTTT